GTTGCTGACGTAGCTAAAATGTATCGCATGGTCCTGAAGCACATAGCTGATCGTCGATTCTTGAAAATTGTTTGGAGGAACAACGTAAATGAACCGATTCGTACTTATCAATTGAAAACGGTCACCTATGGAACTGCTTCTGCGCCCTATCTCGCTACAAAATGTTTGCAACGTTTGTCGGAAGATGGAGAATCAACATATCCGTTAGCTGCAAAAGTGCTCAGGCAGGATTTCTATGTGGACGACATGCTGTCAGGTGTAGATGACATTGCAGAAGGCAAAGCATTGATTCAAGAAATTATAGCGCTGTTACATTCAGCCGGCTTCACCCTTCGAAAGTGGAACTCCAATTCGAGTGAATTGCTGATAAACGTACCAGAAGACTTGAGGGACAGTCGTTCTATTCTGGAGCTTGAATCAGCTAATTCCAGCGTTAAAACACTAGGATTAATGTGGGAGCCTAGCTCTGATCACTTCAAATTCTGCACACCATCGTGGAACCCCACTTCAATAATCACCAAACGGACTGTGCTTTCGGATGTTTCCCGCATATTCGATCCACTTGGCCTAGTAGGGCCAGTTGTAGTTCAGGCAAAAATCTTCATCCAAGACCTGTGGAGGAAGCAATGTGGATGGGATGAATCGTTGGACGAGAATCTTCAGGAGCAATGGCGGGAGTACAAGCGGAATTTAGTAGGTCTGGACACATTGACGATTCCTCGTTGGGTTGGATACAGCAAGAATGTCGCAGTTGTTGAACTTCATGGATTCTGCGATGCATCAAACAAGGCCTACGGAGCTTGCATCTATTTGCGCACCGTGTTGGAAACTGGTGAAATGTCTGTTCATCTACTGACAGCTAAATCTAGAGTAGCTCCTCTGAATAATCCGAAGAAGGCTGAAAAGCGTGAAACCACTCCTCGGTTGGAGCTTTCTTCAGCGCTTCTGCTCGCACATTTGTATGAAAAGGTGAAAACTGCTCTCCACTTGGAAATGCAGTCATTCTTCTGGACAGATTCAATGATTGTGAAGTGCTGGCTATCATCATCTCCAACTAGATGGAAGCAATTTGTTGCCAACAGAGTCTCCGAAATCCAGCACATCACGAGAGGGGGAGTTTGGAGTCATGTAGCGGGACTGGAGAATCCAGCAGACATTATCTCACGAGGGATGACCCCAGCACAGTTGCAGTATGAGACACTATGGTTTCACGGTCCATGCTGGCTGCGACTGGAAGATCAACACTGGCCTAGCGATCAACGAGTTCAAGAAGCAGAAATTCAAATGGAAGTATTGGAGGAGAAAGGCGTAACGGCAGCGCTTCCAACCGCTATTCCCAGCGAGATATTCAGTTGGAGATCTTCGTTGATGGACCTCGTACGAGTCATTGTGTACATAGATCGTTTCCGCTCAAACACACGGTCGGAGAATCGAAATAGACGACGCGTTGGTTTTGTGACTTCCTTAGAGCTTGACAAAGCTCTCAAAATTTTAGTTCGTGTTTCTCAAAATGAAAGCTTCTCGCAAGAAATCAGTGACCTGAACAGTGGACGAGCAGTACGAAACTCCTCAAGGATCAAGTCACTGAATCCTCAGCTGATCGAGGGCATACTCTGCGTTGGCGGTCGGCTGAAACACGCCATCATATCGGAAAATCGGAAACATCCATTCATCATTGATTATCGTCATCCTTTCGCCAAGCTTGTTGTGGTTCACTATCACAGAAGGCATCTCCATGCAGGACAACAATTGCTGATTTCTGCCATGCGAGAACGATTCTGGCTTACGAATGTCCGAAATCTAGTTCGCACAGTACTGCATGAATGTGTTGCATGTTTCCGATCACATCCACAAGTTCACGAACAGCTAATGGCAGACCTTCCTCCTGAACGAGTCACTCCCTGCCTTCCCTTCCAGCGGGTTGGAGTTGATTACTGTGGACCATTCACAATCAGGTACCCTCAACGTCGTGCACAACTGATTAAATGTTTCGTCGCAATCTACGTATGCCTGGTAACGAAAGCGGTTCACTTAGAGCTAGCAGCAGACTTGTCTACACAAGGGTTCCTAGCTACTTTCAAACGATTTATCGCTCGCAGAGGAAAGCCACAAGTTGTAATGTGCGATAATGCAAAAAACTTCGTTGGTGCAAGACGAGAAATCGCTGAGGTTCACAATTTGATTAAGTCAAGGGACTTTCAGAATTCTGTTGTAAATCTTGCAGCTGAAGAAGGAATAGAATTCAAGTTCATCCCTGCACGATCACCTAACTTCGGAGGACTGTGGGAATCAGCAGTCAAGTCCTTCAAAACCTTGTTCAAGCGAAGCATCGGCGTTCGAACTCTCGTGTACGACGAAATGCAAACGATTCTCGTACAGATCGAAGCAGTATTGAACTCTAGACCGTTGACACCGCTCAGCAATGATCCTGAAGACTTTGAGGCATTGACACCAGGACACTTTCTAATTCAACGACCTCTAATTGCACTTCCGGAAGCTGACCTGGATGGAATTCCAGAGAATCGGCTATCAACATGGCAGCGAATACAACACCTCATGCAAGGCATATGGAAGAAATGGTCTACACAATACCTATCAGACCTACACAATCGAACGAAGTGGACAAAACGAAGAGACAACATCGCTGTTGGGACGATGGTTGTTCTAAAGGATGAAAACCTTCCGCCACTCAAGTGGCCACTAGCGCGTGTAACCGAAGTTCACGCAGGAGCAGATGGGAACGTTCGAGTCGTGACGGTGCAAACCAAGGACGGTAGCTATCGCAGAGCAATTTCAAAAGTATGCATTCTACCGATACGAGACAATCTTGCTTTAGCAGCTGAGGAGAACTAGGACTCCTCCAACGGCGGAGGCTGAGAGGCCTCCGCTTACCAGTTAAGTTACGTATTTCTTAAAATTTCAAAAAGTTGACCGCCTATTTTCTTCACAGTCACGACTCCCCCATTCCCCATTCAGTTTGGACGACTCAAACTACTCACTGAATTTCGTGTTTTCTCTGACCAGATAAGGTAATCTGTGTTGTCCGGTGGTAGTTTCCATGTTGCATGTGTGGTGCATTTTGTGTCCATTCAGTTCCTGCCTGATTTCAATTGAAATCACAGTGGCGCCGAGCGCCTACATTGCACAGCAGTGCTACGTCAGAGCCAATGCTTAATCCCGTCCTATTTTGACACTTCCGAGGTACCTCCAAATAACAACTGCATTCCGGGCAAGAAGTTGTACACTTCAAACCCTGGTTCAACGAAGTGGTCGTCAGCGAACTTGGCCAGTTCACCTGATCGATCATATCATCGGGGAGCCAAATCGAACCTTAGCAGTCAAGAGGGAAGTCTACCTATCAGGAATCATCGAAACGTCATCATTAGCGGGAGATCATCGATGCCAGAAGGCATCCGCGGAGGCCACGAGGGCCTCCGCTCCAGGCAATCATCACCACCGATCGAACCACGGCGTTCGGTTCGTCCTGTCAGTCCACCAACAGAGGTCACTGAGAAGTTCATCACGTCCACCAACATTCACGTTGAAGCAACAACGTCTTAGCAGCAATTGGTCCGAAGATCCACCCGTTGCAATCTATGTCCAGAGGAAATCTCAGCAAACAGTCTATTGAACCATCGAGGTAACAAGATTGGTTACTATCCTGAAGCGAGAGTCAGCACCGCACTACCGAAACCATCAAGGAATCGTCTAGTCAACACCTTACCAAATCTGCGAAGTAAATATTTAAATCGTCAAGCACACGACCCTGGAGATCATCATCGAGCGAACAACTCTGGCAGGCAGATAATTCGCTGTAGAAAATCTTCAGGCAGTCCAACATGGCCTGCCAGGTAAGTTGTTCCGGTTTTATACTGCATTCTATCGTGATACTCCATATTCGTATTCACTTACTTCGAGGGAAACATCACCAACTTAACCAACGATGAGACACACCAGTAGATGACAACAGCGATCGGCTACGAGCAGCGGATTACAATCCTTTCAGTGATCAGCTGTTTCGTATATGGGTCAAGGTCATACCACATCAACAGCAACAGCAGTACAACAGTAGGCAAGGAAAGTGAATCTGGTTGAACCATCCCACTTCCAGCAGGAGAACAATAGTGTAGTTTTATACAAATTTTTTATGTGTCTATTATATAAGGAAGAATTAGCATAGCAAAACAAAATTAACGATTAGGCAGCTAGAAGCTAGAGTAGTGCAATTGAAATCAAAATTTTTCAAGGCGGCCGGCATATGTTCGAGCGAGACAAGTAGAGAAATATCGATGCATGTGCATCCCTAGTAACGGAACATTTTCTCTCTACTTCTCTCACCGAGCCGAAGTGTGTATACTCACACTACCAGTGTCTGATCTCCCTCGATCACCGGTCAGCTGTGTAGTACATAGAGCAGTAGTTTTTTAGAATAAAATAAACCGTCGCGCTTTACACACCGTCGGAGCGTGTTTGATCATCCGCAATAAATGTTTGTTGTAGTGTTCGCGTTAGAAATAAAATGTTTTAGTTCTCGTTATGTTGTAACCGTGAATATTCTTTGTTGTGTCCGAAAAGTCGGTTTTACGCGCGAACACATGGTATTGTATGCCTATCATTTTTATATACCCTGACTAGAATAGTCCGGATATACTTATTTGTGGTACGTAATGATACTGTGAATAATCCTTTTATCGTTTACGATTATGCGGATTCCTATAGAACAAATATCAAACAATATTGCAAAATCGATCATGAAATTTCTACCCTATTTTTATAACTCTTTATTTGAGCCAGATTCAAATTAAATTACATTTCATTTTAACCTAGGTGCTCCAACTACTACGGTATCTTACCAGCCTTAATTGTTATGATATATATTTAAGTGTGTTTACATTGTTTCTGCTTTGGAAATTCAGTATTTTAAATAGGTTTTCTATACCTCCGTCATCTAAATTAAACTAACTTAAACCAAATCTCACTTCACTCTATTCTCCTTACAGCCAAGACGGAACTAGACATCGAGGAATACTCGTTCAGCCAAACCACCCTGGAGCAGGTATTCCTGAAGTTTGCACATTACGACGAGGAGACGTCCAGTGTGCAGTAGTTTTTCCCCTTCTGCTCGCCCTCATCGGATGCTGATGATGACGACGACGACGACAAAAACGATTGACGGCGTAGAAGCCTCACGTAGAATGTTCTCTAGTGGTAGGTGATGAATGAGGTGCGTGAACGAAGAGCGACGAGCGGATGCTTTTTGACGGATGTATAAAGTGAAAGGAAAAAAAAGACACTAAGCTAATAATAATCTAGCCGATAGGTAAGTTTAATTGAAAGCAAACAACAAAGGTAATTATTTAATAATTAAATTCAAGAAAATGCATCTTATAAAGACAAAGTAAAAACGAGACAAAATGATGGAAAAGTGAACAGCTAAATTAATTACCCTTAATATAATTAACTATTAATTACAATAAAGTGAAATTACAATAAGACAAAACTAAAACAACAAAATGGAAGTACTAAATCGACAAGGGCGAAACAAGTGACAAAACCAAAAGAAGACCCACAAAGAGAAGGGAAGATATTGATAGTTCGGAATTACGAAGAAAAAATGATGAAGTGATCCATTCGCAAAGACGATATTAAAAAAGAAATAAAAAAAGAGTTATGAAATTTGTTTTACAACTGTGATTTATTACGATCAGTAAACCAAAAAAGAAATCGGAAAATGGTTCATCCCAAATAAAGTGAATATTAGGAAGAAAATAATAAAGCAAATGCAAAAAAAAAACAAGTGGTTCAAATAAAACTCCTCGCTCCGAATCGCTGCTGAGTAGAAAAGTAAAGAAAGCCATGCTTTCGTCAGACCCGGATGTTGTCCGACAAACCCAACTCGATCCTCTTCCAGGCAACATGTTGAGAATTTCAGGTGATCAACATACCTCATTCGTAGGTATTTCTGTTCCACATCTTAGTCAGTTCAACTCGATCTCGTAGATAATCTTCGAAGCTAACGTAGTTGGGCTGAACGTTGAGAAGGACCAGAGAGCTTCTGATGGAGTTGGTCATAACGGTCATAGCACCTAGCAGCTCCTTATCCGAAAGACGCTTTCCGTCCTTCCAGCTTGGCTTTGCTGCCAGTGTTTCCAGGTTTTGCAGCAATACTAGAATCACTTGGAGTTGATAGTGCTTGGGCATCTTTTCGCTGCTATGCAAGAGTTTGTACATCTCTACAAAACCTTTCAGATCCACTACCAAAAAGCACCTATAATCGGTGTTTTCCACAGGAACAATGAATTGGTTTTCCAGCAAAAGACTACGTTTGTTTGATGGAGGCAACCGTATGAACCATTCCAACTGCAGGTCACTTAAGTCATTCAGAAGTTGATTAAACACATTGGAAAACATCGACAACTCATCTGATGAAACGTTCATATCCATAGCTTTACAGATAATTTGCTGGAGCGTAGTTTCGATTTGATCACATTCGTGTCCAGAAAGTTCACGCAGGAACTTGTCCACACAACACCTAATCATTTTGTTGTACTCCAATGAAACCGAGTCCGAAGTGGTTCGATCGTGTTGAGAAGATGTCATATCTGCCAGCGATCGCAACGCATCACGAGTAATCGTCCGGAGGCATTCCAATGTTTCGCTTCGGAAGTCTTCAGATGCAATGAAACTCACGTATGATGTGAAGAAACACGAAAACATTTGCATTTTGTCGAGATCGGCTTGCACCAGGTCCTTCATGCAGTCATCCAAAAGACACAACCATATGCGGACAGGTTCGGGGATTGCGTCCATATTCTGGAACAGTTTGAACTCATACGGGAAACGGCTAGTGCGGAAAGGACCACCCGGTTCGAAGTGATTTGCGAGCAGGGTAAGCATTTGAAGCTGCTGTCGGAGGCATTTGTTGGGTGACGTTTGGAACTTGGTTTCTTCCCATCCAAGTGCTTCGCTGTAGGTGATTGCGATGTGAGTGCCAAGCTGTTTGGCTACGTCCTGTACGCTCTTGCATACGTACAGGAAGATACGATTGGACAGCGGGTCGAGATCACGGAACTGGTCGTCATTGATTTCTTCAACTCTTGCCAGAAATTTGGAAAAGATCTTCGGCAAGACAGCTTTAAATATGGCTTTGTCGAGTGTCGTCAAACCGGTAAACAGATGCATATCTTCCATGGTAACGTACAGAATGCGATCATCGGGGAGTTCTTTGAGCTTATTCTTCATGGTTGATGGACAAACGGCTGCAAGTCGAGCTCGGCGTCGGTTCAATGCTTCCTGGATTACATTACTGATGAACTCGGTGGACAATAGAGAATCGTTCAAATGACCAAAAATCTCATTCCGTTGAATCAATTTGAGAGCCTTTGTGACATAGTTGTCAAGAGTTGACATTATTTCACTTGATAGACGTAAACAACTTTTCAAATCGTACTTGAAATCCATGTTCAGTGAATTACCATGCTTCTTCAACAACATGCCCAACAGCATCACATCTCGTTTGCGGTCAATATTTTCCCCTGATTCATCGGCTAGTTTATCGAGAATCATTACCAGAACACTTTTTGTCTTGTTGCATTCGTCAAGCTCTTCATCCAATAAGACTTTCACCACCTTCAAGTGCTTCAGAAGCGTCTGCACTGCCTCCTCGAAACCGACAGCTGTGTCCAAATCAACCGTGCCTTCCACGGTGACTTTGGAAATGTACCGTCTGGGTGACATCAGAAAACAGTCCTCTCCGCTCAGCTTCCACACTTCACCGTTCAGGTAGAACTCTGCCGAATACGGAAGACCACCATCGTCCACGTCGCATCGCCCAATGAACTGCCGCCCATCGTGATGAACGATTGTGGTCATTTTGGAGAGGATGCTCAGCTTTCGGAAATCCGTAAAACTCATTTCACTGCCGGCAATGCTGCTTCTGCCAGGGGAATAGATTGACCACTCTGAATCCGGCCTCTCTCCGCTGTCGTGTACAATCTCAATCGATGATGCATCGTCGTCTGGCAAACAATCATGATGCTCATCGACCACAATGATGCCTTCCATTGTGCTTTGTTGTAATACTGAAATTGTAAAATACACTTTTAACACCGACGAACTGTTTTGACTTCCTTCAAATCAAACTATTATCTATACCTACCGATGAACTTAATTCGAGAAATACCGAACCACTTAATGAAAATGCACTACCTTCGAAATGCTGTACTGTTTTGTTTTTTTTTTTTTTTTTTCCTGTGTCCTGAATGTTGGACGGCTCACGGAAAAACGAGTTTATGCATTGATGACTATTTTTTAACCACTTTTGGGAGCTTGTTCGAGCTGTCATAGAGTGGTTGAAATTTATAGCAAAAAAGTGTATACAATTTAGACATTTCCAGAGAAAACCATTTTGTAAAATAAGTGTCTAAATTTTATTCACCAGTGGCTGAAAAAAAACTTGGCAGCAATTATTTTCCGAACCGCAGCGGCCATCATTCATCAACTTTTCGCAGGTAGATAGATTGTTTATATTATTATTATACAATTTAAAACTAACTTATAGTTTTGTTTTCATTTCCAGAGTGCGGTGAGAACTCCAAGATGAAGTCATCATCGTCTAGTGAGCACCAGAAATTGCGGCTTCCTTCGCAATCAAGTGCCGGAACGAAAATAAAGTTTTCTTCCGATTCTGTTTCCGACTTTGGAAACAGGACAGAATGTGTGGGATCAGGCCAAAGAGATGGTCGATGATAATAGTAAGTATACCCGCATAAACGCGAACCATCACATGACCTTACCGATAATGGTTATAAATTGTTTATAATCCCTGCTAAACTTCAACTGAAATGGTTATGGAACCTTACATGAACGTTTGTGTGATAAAGTTTTAACCTTATGTGTTATGGTTTTTTGGAAGCGGACCTTACAAATAATGGGTTGTTAAGAACCATTACCATTCCAAATTCTTGTTTTCTCCATACATTTTCGGAAAGAGAACTATATTAGAACGTTTTTACTTATGGTTTGAGAACATTAATGGTTATGGTTATGGTAGTCAGTAAGGTCCATTAATGGTTTTGTATTATCACTCAACTTTACGTGAAATATATCGTGAATTGGTAATCAGTAATTTACAGGCAACCAATTCGCGATATATTCCACATAAAGTTGATCGATGTTACAAAACCATTCATGGACCTTACTGGTTACCATAACCATTACCATTAATGTTCTTAAACCATAAGTTAAAAGGTTTTAGTAAAGTTTTCTTTCCGAAAATGTATGGAGAAAACAAGAATTTGGAATGGTAATGGTTCTTAACAACCCATTATTTGTAAGGTCCACTTCCAAAAAACTATAATACTTAAGGTTAAAACTTTATCATTAAACGTTCATGTAAAGTTCCATAACCATTTCAGTTGAAGTTTAGCAGGGATTATAAACAATTTATAACCATTATCGGTAAGGTCAATTTATGGTTCGCGCTTATGCGGGTATCTAACAAGGTACATTGTTTTGTTATTTCAAAACTTTTGATTCCCACTACATAGGGCTTCAAACGGCAGCACAATGATCCGGATCGAGTTCGCCGGGCAATGGAACGGGAAGGTCGACGAAACGATCGCGAAAACAAGGAAACATCCGATTCCGGATTTTGCTAAGGTGTTCCGTGATCGGACTACACTGCTTTGTACGCAATTAGGATAGATTCACCAGGAGCAGCATGTTCCCAACATTGAATCACCACCAAGGGCAGAAACAACGCCACCACAGCAGAGTATCTTCCTGACCATTGCCAACCATTGCCGATATGAACAGCCTCGCGAATCACATGATGGATTCTGCGTTGAAACCAAGGGGACCAGCCGGCAGCAGAAGAACGGAGTATTCCCCGGTCACCGTGTACAAGGTCACTAAGGCGGTAGACCAAACAGCAACACGAACCAGAATCTTGAAATAAACGTTACTTTTTATTGGATTTTATTCGATTGTAATTTATAATAATATATGTTTAAAATAAACGAAATCAGGCATTTAAATTCCTTCCAGTGCATACAATCTAACCACTTTTGAGAATAACGTCTTTATTCATTAATGATTAAAATTTAATCACTTTCGAGAAAAACGTGTTTATTCATCCGATGAGTAAACAGCGTTTATTCATTTTATGAATATTGACGAGTGCACGGATGGATTTGAGTTCACTCACTCGACAAAAAGTGACACAACAGCGGGGCCCTGTTTACTAAAAATGAACACATATGTGTTCATTTTTAGTAAACAGGGCCCCGCTGTTGTGTCACTTTTTGTCGAGTGAGTGAACTCAAATCCATCCGTGCACTCGTCAATGTGCGGGTTTTCTCGAAACTGGTTAAAGTTTAAACATTAATGCATACTTTTTTCTTAGCGTGAGCTCAGACCAATTACGTTTATATAATAAGGTCTGGGGCCAAAGGGCTTATTAGTGTTAGTGAATGTGCAAATGTTTAGTGGTGTTCGTATTTTATTGCAATGTTAATCTTTTTACACGAAACAGCTGTTGGCAGTGACGTATTTCTATCTGTTCGGAGATGTTCAGCAATGTTTACAACATTTTTGCTACTAACACCAGCAAGCTGCCTGTTGGCCCAGACCTTATATAAATGTCATTGGGCTCAGACCTAGGCGAGTAAGAGAGGTGCCACAGTCGGGAAAAGTGTTAGTTTGTTTACTTAAATGAACCATGCCCATTTTGTTATGGCAAGCTTGCTATAAGAAATGCTCCTCGTGTTTATTAGCGAAATTCACATCAAAGATTGATTAATTGAGTAGGAAATCAGTTTGGCACGGCATTTGTGACCAACATACACCTTCCGGTCGTACGAAACAGGTCAAAAACAGTCCAAATCCGCAGATAAAAATTTTTGTTTTGAATTTCTGTATGGCAAAATAGTGAACTTTTCGTGAACATTAACGGTAAAGAACTCACCAACACTGGGAGACCGTGAGTTCCTGCTTACCTGTCATTTACCATCTTGGGCTCAGACCGATCACCGTCCACACTCAAAAATATTACTAAACAAAGATAGATTAAAATTTAATCCATTTTCGGTTACGTAATGTTTATACATTGATCTGCATAAATTTCACATAAAAATAATACTAAGTTCGAATAACGGAGAGAAATTCGTTCAGTGTACATAAACAAATAATGTTAAATTTTAAATTACTTCAGTTCAACGTCATGTCTTCTATCATTTTTCCTCATCGATCTGTTCGTTTTCGGTCGCCTGGCTGATAGCTTGTTTGGTGAATTTATTGAAAACCGTCATGGAAAAATACTTTATGAAGGTATTATTTGGAAGAACCATAGGTAGGTTGATAAACATATTTTGAAAACCAAAGAGCTGACATCAAAATTTTATTTTCAATTATGCTGTAATTTTGTTCGTTTCTGTTCCGTGCCGTGATGTCGTTGTCAATACTACACCTAATGACACCTTCCAAAGCGATGATAATGGTGATAAACAGCAGACACGAAAGCTCTATTGCTGTAACGACAGCTTGGAGATTTCTCGATGAACATTTCAAATGGTCCTATCTGCTTTGATCGATTCTCTTCATCGACTTTCTCTTTCGTTAATAACTCAGCTGCAAAACCTTTCCCTGTTGTATTTGACGTTTTGGACGCTAGATAAGAACCTCCTTTATCAAACTATGTGGTAGAATTAACGCGAAATCTGTTTGCATAGCAGTGGTTATGAAAAGAGAAAGTCGATGAAGAGAATCGATCAAAGCAGATAGGACCATTTGAAATGTTCATCGAGAACTGATTGATTTCAATCAGTTGGTATTCTGTTTTTGAGGGTTGAGAGAGAAGTATTTCAAGCGGAAGATGAGTTTAACGATTACGATCCAATTACCGGCGGGGATATTTGTTACCGATCAATGCGCATGGAATTTTCATGGTTCAAAATAGTGATTTAGCTCCACCAAGTTCAAACGATTTCAAATCAGCTCCTGATCATTCTCACAAAATTTGCTCTCATTAGGATGCGAACTCATACTGCACTTGGCCCTTTGAAGTTTATGTGGGAATTGAAAAATTGAACGTTATTAATTGATTAGGAAGATGATGTTCTTCTGACATGGTTCATTTACTACTCAGCAGACAACATTGGAATAATAGGACCAAAAAATCGAGGCTATTACGTCATAAGGGCAAGATGCAGTGTGTTGCCCTGAAAACAGCCGATTAATCCTACCAGCAAGTTATCAACTTGGAAATTAATTAAAACAAATGTTCTTGACATTCAATTAAAAAGTGGTTTTCAACAAAGTTGTAACTGGGAAATTTTCACGTAAGAGCTACCGGGGGGGCTCTGATGGACAACTTTTCCGTAAATCATATGGTGCAGGGCTAGAACAATGAGGACAAAAAATACACTTTTCTTAGAGTAATTCCCATATAAACTTCAAAGAGCCAGTGCAGAATCAGTTTGCCACCAAATTAGCACAAATTTTGGGATATTGATCAGCCTGATTTGGATCCGATTGATCTTGGTGGATCACATTGATAGGTATTTTGCAGCTGGCAGAGAACCAATAGTTTGAAGGGCCCTTTAAAAAAACTTCGTTGTTGAAATTGATTCGTGTGACTTCATCCATCAGTATTTTCAGCCTTTCAAGCTGTAGCTGACATCACTAGTTAATTCAAACATGTACTTAAATTTGAGAACTGTTCAAATATATTTAGACAAAAAGCATGCTGTGTTTGTCCCAAGTAGTAGTCAACCTGAAAATATGATGAGAAATAAAAAAACTGGATTGTAAATTTTGGGATGAATCCAACATATTTGTCACACTCAACGGTCAGTATCTGAATCGAAAACCATGTTTTCCAAAATGTTTATTTAGTAGGCTCAATATCTTTGAAAGCTCTGCGGAGCCGAAGGACTAAACAAATATTACAATG